TTCCCAAGCCGGGAATAGAGTGGGAGCTGGGCTACAGGGGTGGGTGGCCAGCAAACAGGGCACCAGTGGAGAGGTCCCAGGCAGTAGCTGGGGTGGGTGGTCCCCTGTGAGGGTCACCCAGGCAGCTCCTGGTATATTGCAGGTCAGCCACCCGGAGCTTGGATGGATGGAGGGAGGGACACGGACCCAGGGACAGATTGCTGCCACATGAAGCTACTCTCCTAGTGGGGTCCCGCAAGTGGGCAGCTGCTGACGGGTCCCACCACCTATCTTGGAAGAGCAGGCAAGTGTCTCTGGACGCGGGTTCCCGGTCTGGGGATGGAGTGGGGCTAGAGCGAGTCTAGGTCACGATGGTGAGGCTTAGTGACCCGCGATGTCCCTCGAATCGGGGCCTGGATCACCGAGTCCCCAGCTTAGGACAAATGTGTGGCGTGGGACTGGGGTGCTGGCCCAGGGGGTATTTCATTCACCAGACTCCTACCACTCGGCTACCTGGACACCAAACCACCTTGTTCGAAAGAGCTCTCAAAGTAAGCAGGTCCCCTGGTCTGCCATCTTCTGACTGCGTCTGGATGGTCCTCTTATGGGACTCTAGTTGGGTGATTGTGGACCCAGGAGGATGACGCTGCACTGGATGAGCTCACAGGAAGCCATGGTGGTGTGGCCCACAGCAGCTTGGAGCAACTCAGGGGAAGTGCGCGGGTGCTTGCTGTAGCGGGATTGCCACAGAGGCTTGATGGGTTTTCCCACTTTAGTGTAGAACACTGTAGATAACAGGCGGCATTGTTCTAGTCGGCAAGATCTCCCATGTAGATCACACAGATGCTCCCACAGCAATGTGGAGCACTGGAGAGGGCTGATGGAGCTGTCTTAAGTTGTGTAAAGCACTGCAGCAGATAGGAGGACGTTCCCTCAGGCATGTGGGACCACAGAGGATGGGGAGGGACCCTACCAGAGGGGCCCTCCCAGCCACGTGGAGCGCCGTGAAGGGTAGGTGGGATTTCCACCATCCACTTAAAGGGCTTTGAGGGTTGATGGGAGTTCTCCTAGATGTTTTAAGGGCAGCTTCCCCCATTTGAAGTGTGGCAGAAGACAGGCCGGATTTCCCCAACTGCTTGTATGGCTGCAGAGGGTAGGGTGGCAGGAGCTACCCCAGCTGAGTGGAGGATGCATGTAGTTGCTCTAGGGAAAGAGGAGTGACCTGGAGTCCAGCAGTGGCATGTTAAAGGAAAGAAAAAAAAGAAAAAAACTGGGTGGGAGTACCGAGCCCAATGAGACTGTGGGGTGAAAGGGAGAAGACAGAGGGAAAATGTAAAGAAATAACAGCCTCAATCACCTGACTGTGGGGCTGGAGGGGGTTAAACCGTGCTCAAAGGTGACAGTAAGCTGTGGTTGTGTTGAAGTAAAGCCTTTGGGCTGGCCAAGGGAGCCCAATTCCGGCCAAGGCTGTGGCGGGGGAAAGGCTAAGCCATAGCCAACCTCTGCAGTGGTAAGCCCAAATCCCACAGCTCTTCAAAACCTAGTGGATCTATGTCTGCTAATCTTTACTATGTTCTTCCTGTGACCCAGAAGAGTGATATTTCCTTCTCAGTTACTCTCCTCCACTGATTTCTGCAGAGTCCCTCTGGTATGCTGCTCCATCACCATCTTGCCACACAGACCTATTCCTCTTTTTCTTATTGAAGTGTTGCAATTATTTATGCCATTGCCAAAATATTTTTTCTAATCTGTAGATTACCTTTTACTTTTTTTCATGAAGTATTTGTTTTACTTTTCTTAAGTCCCAGACTTCAATTT